AGAATAAAACAGTAAAACAAAAAATTAATTCTTTCTTCTCTGCCATTTTATTCAGAAAGTTGGTCTTATAAAGACCACGACCACGTCTACATTGGGTGGGTTCACCAAGGGTGACACCTGTCCATTATAATAACAGAAAAAAATCCCTATCATGACATTCTAGCTCACAAATTAGGTTAAAATATAATCTAAGAGCTTTCTAGGTTTTATGATCCTTCAGGTGGGCCTTGTGAAATTAGGCCCACTGTCAGAGAGAATATTCCCATCACACTTTATCCTTCATTCTCCATGATGGTTTCCTAGTGCGTTTGCTCCTTCTAAGCGAATGGAACATAACAGTGCGCCCCTATTAGGAACTGACCTCGTCAGAAAGATTATTAGTCCTTCAAATGATCCCAGAATTCCAAGCTAGGGTGAGGATTTCATCCCTCTGCCAGAAATTATCAACCTTGACTAAGCGTTATCAAGGAGATTGACAGGCTGAAAGTTCATAGCACATACCCAACTTCCGTTGCGCTCAGATTTGACAGATAATTGGCGATATGACTAAAGCTTGACAAAGACATAGTCACCAATCAAGAACACATCACAGTGATTAATATGATCTTGAGGGGTTAATATAATTTTAAATTTTCTTTGTAATTTTTATTATGGTTTTAGTTAATAGCACATACCCAACTTCTGTTACGGTCCGATTTGACAGATATTTGGCAATATGACTAAAGCTTGTCACATGGGAAAATATAAAAAAAAAAAAAGTGAATCATTCATGTTCTCATGGTGAAATAATAATGCATATAGAGGGAATTAAGGACAGCACTAGTAGAAGTTAAATATTAGTCTACATTTGGGTATGTGCTATTAACTAAAATCATAAAAATTACAAAGAAAACCCAAATTCATATTAAACCCCTCAAGATCATATCAGTGTTGCAGGTTAGGACAACTTTTCATTTGAGACTAGGCACGAGTCAAAGTGCGCTTTAGTTGTGCCAGCAGCTATAGTCATGACACTGCAACTGTTCCTAGATATCGATTGGAGTAGGAACAAGTGATGATAAGGTTGTAGTAGCATCAAGTGATGATAAGGACATAATAGTCGGTGGGTCATGCCTACGATGGCGATAAGCTATGATTGCAGAAATGCATGCTCTTGACCATAGTAAAACTTGGGAGTTGGTGCCCCTTCTCCTAGGCAAAAAGGCGGTTGGTTGCGGATGGGTGTATGCAGTTAAAGTTGGTCCTGATGGTGAAATTGATCGACTCAAAGCCCAACTTGTTGTAAAAGGTTACACCCAGGTTTATTGTCTTGATTATTGTGACACTTTCTCTCCTGTAGCCAAGATGACTACTATTTGCCTCTTCTTTGCCATGGCAGCCATTCGTCATTGTCCACTTCATCAATTGGATATCAAGAATGCCTTCCTACATGGTGATCTTGAAGAAGAAGTTTATATGGAGCAACTTCCCGAGTTTGTTGCTTAGGGGAGAGTCTGATATGGTATGCAAATTGCATCGATCTCTATATGGCCTCAAGCAATCACGACGTGCTTGGTTTAGAAAGTTTAGCTCCATTACTCAAAAATTTGGGCTAAAACGTAGTGAAGCAGACCATTTACTGTCATTCTTTTCTTGGGAAATGTGTTTACTTAATAGTATATGTTGATGTCATTACATGAAATGATGTTGTTGAAATATCTCAACTGAAAGAGTATTTGTGTAGACATTTTCAAACCAAGGATCTTGGAAGTCTCCAATACTTCTTATGCATTGAAGTAGTGTAATCAAAAGATGGAGTTGTAATCTCCCAAAGGAAGTATGCTCTTTATATATTACAAGAAACAGGCATGATTGATTGCAGACTGGTAGACTGTCCCATGAACCCAAACCAGAAATTAAGGACAGAAGAAGGTGAATTATTCTTCGATCCAAAGAGGTATAGGAGGCTGGTCGGAAAACTGATTTTATCTCACTATTACAAGGCCAGATCTATCCTTTGCAGTTGGAGTGGTTAGTCAGTTCATGCAGGCTCCATGTGTTAATCATTGGAATGCTCTCATTCGCATTCTAAGGTACGTCAAAAAAGCTCCTGGACAAGGATTGTTATATTAAGATAAAGAAAGCATTCAGGTCGGTATTATGATGCAGATTGTGCAGGTTCGCCTATTGATAGACGGTCTATTGCAGGATATTGTGTTTTTCTAGAAGGAAACATTATTTCATGGAAAAGTAACAATGTAGTAGCTCGATCAACAGTTGAAGTCGAGTATAGGACAATGGTGTCACTAACATGTGAACTTATATGGGTGAAACAATTCCTTCAAGAGCTTAACTTATGAGACATCCATACTATGAATATGTATTGTGATAATCAAGTTGCTCTCCACATTGCATCAAATGCAGTGTTTCACGAGAGGACTAAACATATAAAAATTGATTGTCATTTTGTTTGTGAAAAATTGTTGACTAAAGAAATATGTCCTGAGTTTTTTAGGTCAAACGATCAACTCGCAAATGTGTTGACTAAGTCATTAAGGGGTCCTCAGATTGAGTTTATTTGTTCCAAGCTTGGTACATACAATTGTATGCTTCAGCTTGAGAGGGAGTGTTAGAATATTTACCCTATTTATCATCATTATATTATGTCTAGGGTTATTCTATTTATCATCATTGTATTCTGTCTAGGATTACCCTATTTATCATGTATTTTTATATTAAAACTTTCTTATATATAGAATGAGAGTGAGAGGGATCTTTCAAGCCCTCGAGAATTATTGTACAGTTTCAATCTCAAGTGTGTTGAACCTAAACCCAATGGCAATAGAGGATGAATGTTTTGATGCTTCTATATCCATGTAAATACAATGCAAGAGTCATGAGAATTGAGTATATTCTTATCTCATTTCCCATAGGAAGACCTTTGACGTCATTCAAAGAATTATCCCACATCACACTCTCCCGAAAAAAAGTTTGCACAAAGTACTTTCCCTATACAATAAATGAAGGTATTGGCAACACAAAAAACCTTTATGAAAATATATCGAAAGCCATAATGAGTAATGTTATAAGCATAGCAGAATATAAAAAATAAAATATATAGATATTAAAAATTAAAAATTAAAAAACGTAGAAATATAATTGTAACTCAAATAATTGAAAATTGCCATAATTAATAATAATTGGAAGTTCAGCAATCCAAATAAAAATAAAATCAAATAAAACACCACTAAGTTCAAGACTTAAAATAGGTTATCAAGTTAAAGGGGTTGAAACAGAGAGCAGCAGTTGTGAAGCAGTGGGTTGGGTGTTAAAGTGAGCAGTTCAAGACTTGTTAGGTTGTGGAGCAATATCAGCAGTGTTACAGTGAGCAGCGGCAGACCGGTGTGGTGTTGTAGTTGGACAACAACACAGCTATGATTGCATGAACCAAGCACAATAGTGGGATAAGGAAAGCCTTCACAACTAAATGGATGCCACTGAGTGTTGTGAAACAACTTACATGTGGTGGCGGCAACATTGGGTTAAGTTTGAAATATTTTGTTTGGGTTTCAACTTGGCTGTATGACCCAACACTTAAAAAAACTGTAGGGGACTGACTGGGTTGGGTGTATAACCTGGAAATAGAAAACAAAGAAAGAAGATATTAGGGTTTTTACATGCCTCACGTCGAGTCACACTGACCCAAGGCTTCTTTCTTTAAGCAGAGTGCATCACATGGATCACGATTTCTGCCATGGCCACCCTGAACCACCATTTTGAGACACCTATGGTGGCCGTTATGCATTGCCATGTGAAACCTGATTTGCCACGTGGCCAACAAGAAATCTGCTACAAAAATCCGCCATGGTGCCTCCACTGCAGTTTTTCAATAACACTACTAATAACCAAAATGAAACTGCCCCATTATCTAAGGCACACACAAGCTATATAATCTGTCTTTGTTGTGTAAACCACCTCCTCAAATGCTAACAACCTGCCACATCATCCAACTAAATATCTTGGAACCTTGATAGGGACTGGAGTATTATGGGGTGTCTAAATCTCACTGGAGCATGGGGTGGTTAAGTTCCTCTTAACTAGCTTTTGAGGGTGGATTCCCTAAGTACTTACTGAGGTGATCATTAGACCCTTCTAATTCTTTTAACACCTTCAAACTGGGGGTATATTTTGTTGATACCCAGTATCCTAAATGTTCTTTCAAATCAGAGATTGAACAAGGGACTCTATATAGCATCCCACTGAAAGAACATTCAAAGATATGCCCAATGTCCCAAGAACCCCAATGAAGATTGTTCGAAAGGAAGGTAAATGGTTTACCATGTAAAGGTATGATTTAAGAATTCCATCTTTATGAATTCTCTCATATAGTTTAAAAAACGCTTGCCAACTAAAAAGTCAGTCTGAAGAGCATAAAACATAGAACATGAAATGAAATAATTTCCTAAATAGCACTTAGTATAAATCAACTACAACTACAATTTAAAATTATACCTTCCTTGGAGATAATGTTCTTCCATTTATCCTTGAGATCAACAGGAGTTCGAGTCTTGTCAAATACACGAGAACCAAATTCCAAAATTTTCCTCCAAGGGATATTTTGATTTTCTAGTGAGAACTTCAATACTCCTTCCTGCAATTTGAGAACCAAAGCTAATAGTATAATTGACAAATAAAACCCCATTAAGAACTTTAATACTCCTTACAGTAATGTGAGAACCAAAGCTAAATAAAAGACAAATACAGTTAAAACACCTTAGATTAATGCTGTATACCTTGTCAAATGTATAAGTTTTACAACTTTAAAGTTCATAATAAACTTTAAGAAGCATAAAATGCATACTAGGAAGTAGGAAACTTAGCAAACAACTCCTAAAAAGAAAGAAATTCTAATAAAAGTAAATTCCTAAATACATGGGATTGATAAAAATAAAAAGATTTTCATTGTTCTATCCATAACAAAACAGTGTTATCAATATCAGGTAACGGAAAATATTTGACACCCCAAAAAGCCTTTATAAAACTATATCGGAAACCACAATAGGTTATGGAGGAAGCATAGCAGACAAAAGAAATACAATATATACAAATAGATAATTTAAAGAAAATGCAAAAACATAATTGTATCGCAAAAATAATGAAAGAGACAACTATAATTAATAATAACAATAATATGTCTAGAAATTCAAATAACAATAACATCAAATCAACACACAACGAATTTCAAGTTCAAAACTTACAAATAACATCAAAACGTGAGGAAAAAGTCCTAAATTTCTAAGTATCTCACTCTTCTTCCATGCCAACATAATTATCTCCAATATTATCTAACGATGCATATGCCTCCTCATCTTTCCCTTCAAAAAGAAATATGCTTGTCAAGTTACATAACTTTTAAAACTCGTAGTCAGAGCTATTCAATTGCAATTCATTCTCAACTCCAATTTGCATTGTCTTTTTGCCCTTCCTTCCTATTGAGCTGAAGTTGCACCTGGACCTTTCTTAAAAGCAGAGGAAGATCCAATAACAATGCCACCACTTGATGATTGCTTCCTTTTTTTGCTTGCTTGTCTCCTTGTATAAATTATTGATTCTCCAACATCTCAAGCTTCATAAACAATTGCCTAATTAAGAGTGAGATCATCATCAAAAATCAACTCATTTCCCGCTTCTTCAATATCATTATCATTATCATCATCCACTTGTCCTATTAACCACTCATTGCACTCATCAATGTCATTTAGTACAATAGGGCATATTTCACCCCTAATATTGTATCCTTGAGCAAGTTATTGGTTATAATTTATGTAATGTTTTGGTCCAACCTTTTCCTCTTTTTGAATGAATCTACAATACAATAAGTAAAATGTTAATCAATTTCTCCCAATTTTCTACAAAAAAAAAATAATAATAATGAAATGAATCGTGTCATGACAACATTTATTACTTGCTCAAATACACTCTAGTGGATGTTACTGAAAATAAAATTTACGATCCTTTGATTTATGATTTTGTAAGTCCTTCATGATCCTAACCATAATCTTGATTTTAACTAGCTTGGCCAGACCACTCTATGACACCCAAAGTGGCAATGGCCACCAAAAGAAAAACCAGCATCACCACTATTATTTTGTGCTGGCTATAACTCTGCCACCTATTTCTGCCATGGCATCACCACAACAGATTTCAATGACACTAAAGCAGTATGATTTCATATCAATCAAGAAGAAGAGATGTTAAATTAAATGTCAAAGGTAGACATAACATAGCAACTTATCATGAACATTGTATCCTCATATTGCAAACACAAGCACAAAGAAAAGCACATGTTGAAAGTTGCCTCAATATTCTATTATCCAGATAAGTGTTTAGCAATGATAGTTGGGCCAGCTGTAATGTTTTGACGACATAATTAGACCCCAAATGTTAAGAAGATAGAATGAAAAACTGTCTTCAAAAATATTACAATCAACCATATAAGTATTTTATTTATTTTCAGATTTGCATGACAGTAAATTACAGGAGCATATTGTCCTATTGGGTTTATGATGTAACTCATGCAACCAAGCCCATGTTCTTGTCTTTCCTTCTCTCTTTTAATTTATATCTTTTCGCTTTTCTATGCAACTTGGATCCCATTACGTATGTAGACATAATAAAAAATTACATCCCACCATAGCCCTGAATGATTGTTGATTGAATTTTAACTAAACCTGCCAAACCAAATATCTTATCTCATGTTGACTCTTAATTCACAGGTACTCTTCACATCAACCAGCACGATGCAAATATTCCCTCTCAAGTTGTTCATTTCACCCGTACCTTCAAATACACTAAGTCCACTCAGCAACTTTGTTTCACATATTTACAGCAGAAAATACAAATCCTTTAGATGGCTTACATCACCCCTCTTTCTCACTAATATTAGAAACCAGGAATTAAAAAGAAAAACAAAAGAAACATTTTACCAAATTGGATGAAAAAAACAACGAATGTGACAGAAATTTCTCCATCAAGGGTTTCCACATCACAAAGGATTTATCCACTCAACTTACAATAGCAACAAATCTCAATCTATCCTGTATTTCTTCCTGCTGATATATAACTACCTCGCTCATTAATATTCTAACCAACTTAACTAATTTCTTATATCCTAACAATTACAATGATGGACAGCCTCTGTAAAACCATTCTTAAAGGTTGTTAGATAGATGTCCTTTTTCAGCCCAACCTAACACAGTTTACGTGTATGCTCTTGGCTTGATTATGGGATGCAAATACGCTATTTCTCACAAACTAAGACTCGTCTACATAAATAGAGATACATTATATACATTTGCCAACTAAGGTTATATATTGAAATCAAAGCATTGACTTGAAGATTTAACCCATTTCACATTGTCAGAGATCAATATAATATATATATATATATATATATATATATATATATATATATATATATATATATATATATATATATAATTAAGTTCTAGGGAAATATGACTTTTATGAATCTTATACCTTCAGAACCTTTTCTTCTTCAAGGGTCCAAAGTAATCTCTTGCGCCTTGCAGTCAGTGAAGTCCGATTCATTCTGCAATTAACAAATAATAGACTAAAGATTTGAATTGAAGCTTTTACTTTTCTTTGAGACAGCAAGTCTCCATCTCAGTGAAAAAAATAAATTTCAATGAATCAACGAAACATCTATTCAATAAATCAATTGCTGCAATTGAGCAGTGCATTGGCCACAACAGCCTCGGGTCACCTGACAAAGGATGCAACTACAACACAACCACTACTGCAATTTAAACCTATGAATAGTACCATGGTTTCAAACAGGATTTGCAGCTGCAACATATATTGTGTGATTTTGAAGACTCCCACAACAGCATCAAGGCAGCAATAGGCCTCGATTTTAAAATTCGCGGCAAATCAACAGAATTTTAAGTTTTGAAAAATGACTCACCCTTTCACGATCGACTTCTGTGGTCGCCTCAAAGTTTGGAAGCTGGTAACTTCCTCCTCTGTTACATTACCAGCAATCTTCCTTCTGGTGTTAGAATGTTTATACTCTTCTTGTTGTAACAAACGCCTCCTCCTTGCAGAAGGACCCTTCCTCTGGTCCTTCCTTGTCTTTGCTAAAACGACATTAGGCTCTTCATCGTTGGTCTCACTCACAGAACTAACCGTCACAGACACCGACACCTTTTCTTCATCTGTATTATTATTCTCTTCAGATTGTGTTTCCTCCACACATTGTATCCCATCCTGAACCAGGCCCGCCCGTGCAACAGCAGAATCTGCACGTGCGCCACTCTCCAAGAAGTGTGACAAAGCTTTCTTGGCGACCAGGGATTTCTCTCTCAGTTGCCGGCACGTGTCCAGGGCGCGCTTGTACCAGCAGTAGGGGCAGTAGAAGTGACCCAAATAATCGAATTTGGGTTCGGAACCGATACAGTTGGAATGTACTGTGACAGGGCACAGCCTTTCGCTGCAAACCAAAATTCCCTCTTCGGCTTTATCGTCACAGAATACGCAGATGCTCCTGTCCAAGCACTCCACAAACTCGGGTCCAGGTTCGGGACGGCGATGAACGCAATTGACATCGTCACTCTCACTATCAAACGCAGTTACGTTATGTTCATCCTGATTAAGATCAGAAAAATTGAAACTGTTAAAGTGACATGAAAGAAGAGATTATCAAAGAAATGAGTGAAAGGATAGGGAGATGCCAAAATGAGAGGAATGGCGAAGAGTGAAGGAGCAGTTGCGCATGCCGCATCCCTACGTTTCCCTACACTCTTACTTCTCATTTTTCCCTAGTTTTGTTCTCGAGAAAAAAATAAAATAAAATAAAATAAAATGGTTCACGTTTGCTCCCCTCAATCAAACCTATGGATGAGTGACCACCTCCAGGTGGTGTAGCCTAATCCGACACTTTACTTGTAATTGTATTTAACTAGTACTAGTATAGTACCCGTGCAAACGAACGAATTTTTAAAAAGTAAAATATATTTATTATATAAATTGGAGTTCTTGAAAATAAAATTAAAATTGAATACTTATTTTATATTATAATTGAATAATAATATTCTAATTGTAATGAGGTAGCTTTTCATTGTATTTGCATCAAATATATTTTTTTAACTTATTTTAGATTGTATGGTGAATTTAATTAATTATGTAAAAAATATAATCAATTAAATCGGGTTACATTATACAAAAGTACACTTTTGATGGCTCTTGAGTGATTAGGAAAGTTAAGTGGTTCTTTAAACTACTTAAGACTTCAAGTAATCTTAAAACATTGCTTATGGTCAAGACATTTCTAAGTACCTCAAGTAATCTTAAAACATTGTTTATGGATCAAGGCATCTTCTAAAGGTACATGCATTTGAAACTACCAAAGAAATTTTTTGAATTCTTTAGTTTCAAATATACATACACTAATCATTCTTAAGAAAGGTTCTTAAAACTTTTTCGTTAGAGGTTTTATATACCTTTCTTTGTATCTTTGATACTTGATTTAAATCCTTCATTTTATAAAAAAGGAGTTACTCAAGCTTTGTAAAACAACTTGGAAATGATATAGAGATATTCTGCAAATTTTGTAGCTCTTCTGCAAATTTTGTAGCTCTTCTTTTTTTTCCAAGTTCACTAGGATAGGTTATCTTCTTGACTTTTCTTAAACTTTTTCCTTGAGGGTTCGCCCAACCTCTTTCAAGAAACACATTCATCCTACTCTACACATTCTTATTCATCATTTCAAGCTTCTACATCCAGACGCATCATCTCCATGGAAGGAACTTCAACTTTCATGAAGTGGGTTTCTATCATTTAGAACCAAAGCTTGTTCCTTCACATGGGTCATGATCCATCCTTTGGGTTATGTTCCATCATGAATGTCAAATTTGCATATTAGAGAAGTGTCTTGGTCCTCTTCCATCATTTGGTATTCGACCAAACCATTTTTTCATAATCCTTGTGTTAGGAAAGTTTTGTTAGTACCCAAAATGAATAACAAGTAGAGGATATGTTGTGATTGTAGATCAATAAATAATAAGACCACTAAGTATAGGCATCCAATTCCTAAGCTAGATTATATGCTTGATGAGGTGCATGGTTAGGAAAAACAAATAAATTTCTAGAAGAGTGGTATAGGTATGGACAACATTAGTTAAAGTAATAAATAATAAGTTATACTAAAGTAAAGTGTATCATAGTTGGTTAGAGACCTTTCTTATAGGTTGGTTCGAGCCTTGGCTAGAGTAAAAGGATATTAGCTTTTTTAGCTTTTTGCAATATTGTGAAAGGTAAAGAGTTGAAAGTAGATACATTGTATCTAAAATAGAATAATAGGAAGGAACATGAGTTTTTTTTAGGGGTGTAGCTTTTGAGCAATAGAATAAGTTAGGGGGGAAAGAATCAAGAGCCAAGTTAGGAAAGAATTCGTCTACAAAATAATAAGGTAAGGGGAGTTAACTCAGTCTCATTTTTATGTGTGTTCTTATTGTTGTGTGATGATAACTATTTTTATTGATGGAGAAATCATTTTGAATACGTGTTTGATGGACTGCAGAAGATGCAATTACTTTATGTTTAGGTGTTTGTGAGGAAGTCTACATATGGATTGTAATATGTTTGCATTTAAGGTATTTTTGAGGTCTATATATATTTTGTGGTTACCTTTTGATAATCATTAGTAATATCGAGTTGGCAAAATTTGATGGTAATTGATGGTTTAGAATTATCTGTATCATTTTTGGAGTATGAGGTATATATATATATATAGAATTACACGGCAAAATTTTGTTGGCAACGATCATGGTATTGTCATCTAATAAATGGTTGATTATTGTTATAGTGGTATACATACCCAATTGTTTAAAATGGGTTGAATTGTAATACCTCAATTTTTGGGATGCAATGATTACGAGTGAAAATTTAAAATTTTTAAAATCATAATACCATTGCGGAAATTCATATTTGATAAGTCTTTACAATTCAAGAAAAATAAACTAAAATTACAATTTAATTATAAAATAAAACTCCAAATAAAATACTTTATTAAAATAATTATAAATTCCCCAACTCTCTCAATCTACTCGTCGCACTATACAACATCCGAACTAACTGTATGATCATCTGCTCCCGTATAAAACGATCATCACAAGTGGAAACCACAACCACAAACATAGGGGTGAACTGAGAATCAATCATAAGTAGAATAACGTAACACACAAATACTAAACATTCGTCACAATAATAAATCTTATAACAACAACACACTAAAAACTTAAATATTATTGCTCATCATCATCACAAACCAGTGGTTTATACCCCATACCCTTCCACTTGTTATATCGAACAGGCTCATTCGAGTCGTCTCGCCCTCGTAGCTAAAGGACATGTTTCCCTATCCGCAAGGACTTATGTGTAATAATGTCGACACTTCGCGTACCGGGTACTATACTCAACAGCAAGCTGAAGACCAGAAAAAACATCATCCCCCTATACAAAGAAGGTGCAACATTCGAATGCCACTCTCTTTTCGCACACAAGGCCAAAGAGAACCTATTTCCCATATCACACTTTCGAAAACCCAAAACTTAGGACATACTAGGTACAACGAGAAGATCCCACAACAACCTGTCATATCTTCATATGCATACATCCAAACAACAACACACATATACACAACTCACACCCAAAAACATGTTTTGTTCTCATAACCCATTCAAAATCACTCATACTATAATTCTCCACGTATAAAAGGTCCAAACAACATCTACCAACCAATTTTACAATAACAATAGCCAATGAAAAGATTACAACATCATCAATTTAACAATAAAACAAGATCATATATAACATACAACCACCTAGAACAAAAATCAAGAATACCAAACATCAAAAATAAAAATTGAGAATGAGAAAACTAAGAATAAAAATCAAGAACGACAAAAGTCAAGAATGTAAGCTAACCTACCTGAGTTTCCCGCTAAGACTTTTTCCTGGAATAAACAATGTCCTTCACCCTTTAGCTCTCACAAATCTTTGCTCGATCAAACTCTCACTCTCATCCTCAAAGTTTCTGTTTCTTTTTTCTAATGGCTAGAGTTTTTATATAAATAGGAGGTGTCTAATACAATAACAACTATGTATGGGTGATACATTATCGTTTACGCTATCAAATTAAACTACTTTACAAGTTATTGTCAAGTCAGTAGTTAACAAACTAGATAGGGTTAAAGTAATCTTGAGTCGTTTCCCAATGAATACGAAATTGATTTTCAAATATTTGACTCTTATGAAGACTCTGAAAGGTTAGTAAAATGCTAAACAATGCTTAAAAATAAAAGTGAAAATATATCGTAATGAAATTGATATTGAAGAAGGTTGTGAGTTTAATAAAGAACAAATAAGAGACTTTAAAACAATTATAATAAAATAGGCTAATTCCATTGTTTTTCCAAAATAAATTCATCATTAATTATTCAAAATAGGCTATTCACATATTTGAAATGAAATGCATGACAAACTTATTACACAAAGCAATAAGCATTGCCTTCAACTTTTCACATTTTCTCATAACAACTTGCCAATGAATATTTTCTTCGTGCAACGCCCACTTGCACATCATCTATTGTCGAAGCATTTGTAATTCTTCGTGCAATAATATCAGTGTTGTCAAATATTTAATAAAAAAAAACAAGTTATCTCTCAACTTTATAACCAAATGTACATTACTGCAATGACGTTTCTTACCAGGCTCAAAGTGATCACCAGAACAACAAAGACACTAACACAAAAATTGAAAAATGAAAATGGCTTATTAAACTTCAATATTCGAGTGAAACCAATGTGAAAAGAGAAATTAAACATTAGATCTTACCAATTCAAATGATATAACATCCCAATTCGGGGAGTCACTTAACATATCAAACTTTGCCAATCATCATATTTGTACGTGAACTAAGCACTTCACATTTGGAATAAGTATTTTCAAATACAATCTCATTATAACACTAGCCATTTTCACAATCCATTCAGAAATTTATTGAGTCAAAACTACTCATAAATATAAATAACTAATTTACAAACACCTTACATCAATAACCCAAACAACTAACATGCCAACGTTCATTTTGAATCATTCGTAAACAATTAACACAACCCATGAATCAAAGAAGTATCAACTAATGTAATTAAACCAAATCTTGTAGTTTTTATCTCATTATAACTTAAATTCCAATTTCTACATGTTGAGACCACCAAATACATTTGACTTCAACCCATATAAAGACAATGTAGGCATCAAATAATCTCTTTTGCAATTAACAATTCACATACACTATCCTATTACTTGTTAAACATGCACTAACAATTAGGATGTACAATCACATGTAAAATTTCACTTATAAGTATATCCAAGACCAAGGAATAAAATTATACATTATGCACCAACATGTTCATTAATCAATTCAACTCTAAACTCACCTCATATGTTATATGAAGTACAACTAGTTTTAATTTCACATTTCAATTATTAACATGCTTCATACAATATGTTTAACATTTGTATTTCTATTCATACAGTATGGTGACAACCACCATGATTGAAATCTTTCATGAGAAGCACCCATCTAAAAACAACGCCTCAAAAGTAAATTCGAGAAATGAGAAAAAACTTTTGAACAAATTAGAAATTAGACTATGATACGTTAACAATTTTTTTTAACAATTTTTTGACAATAGATTATGTATCACTGTTTTATTAATTCATATATTTAAAATGAATCGATGACAAACTACTACGTAAACATTTAAAAAAGTTGTAAAGAAAAAATTGTTAAAAAAACTTCTCCTTAGAAATTTAAAAAATACAGGAGTTTACGAATTCACCGCATTTAATAGGTTGTCGAATTAAGGTACTGATAGCCTTAACCTTTACAACTTTAACCTTTACATACTGAAAAAAAAGATTTTACCTTTCTTAGCATGAGTGATCACTTTAATTTCTGAGAAAGGAGATCAATTTTCCTCTTCCCTTCTCTTATATAGCGAAGGGCAATTGTAAATCTCCACTTTTTCCAAACTTTTCAGGTTCAGGCTCTTAGGAAGACACGCCAACTTGGAACAGTCACCAATAACCATTTCACGAAGCAAGCGAAAGTTCCCGAAGCAATCAGGTAAGGATTCCACGTTTGGAAGATCCCGCAATGTTAAACTCCGAAGCAAGGGAACGCGTCCAAAGCAGTCAGGCAAGGATTTCAGCTTTGGGAGATCAAGTAATGATAAACTCTGAAGCAAAGGAAGGTTCGCAAAGCACCCAGACAGTGATTCCACGTTCGGAAGATCCCATAATCTTAACGAGTGCAAAGAACTCATACGTTGTAAACTCTCATGCAAATGTTCCACCTCTTTGCACCGGTAAACCAACAAATCCTCAACGCATCGAAAACCTGATGACAGGATGAATTTTCGACACCCCACGATTGCTAAATCCTTGAGGGAAGAAGAACTTGACAGCCACAGTGGAAAGTTTTCACCTTTGTATCCTTGCAATGTCAAATTTTGGAGTTGTTGGGTATCAGGTTGAAGGGCTTCAAGAATCTCCTCAACATTTTGTTGTAACTCGGATTCTTCGTTTTCATCCCATGACAAGTACAACTTGTGAAGTTGCTTATTTGACATGTTGGCTTCTTTGGCATCTGTCACACTTTTCACCTTCTCAAGATGCTTTATGTGAAGATATCCTTTGAGATGTAGTGACCCTAGCTCTGCTAAATGGAACCCTCTTTCACTGCCAACTAAATAAGCGCTTAATTTCTTTAGGGAAGTTAACTTCCCCAAATGAGGAGGCAAGCTTGATAGGTTGTAGCAATCCTTCAAAGAGAGTTGTTGTAGAGCTTTTAATCGTGTTAATCTGTTTGGCAACTGTTTGAGACGATAGCAATAGTCTAGTTTCAGTATATGCAAATTCCACAGTTTTCCTAATGATTCTGGAAGAGTTTTGAAGTTACCCTGTGAGAGGTTTAAGTATCTTAGATGTTTTAAATGACAAATTGAATTGGATAATTCTTTCACTGCTGTGCACCAAAGCACACGCAAAGAGTAGCATTTGAATACAACTGGATAAAGTTGGCCAATGTAGGTTCTCAAAGATTTGACCTGATGCAACTGCATTGAATTAATGGATTCCTCGGATACATCCCACGCAGCCCTGTGATCTGCCAGATGGTGTATTGTGTCAGACAAGGTAGTTACATCTTTGTCATGTGCAATGCAACAAACATCTTCTGCAAGAAATTGTGTAAGATCGTGGACAGGATCATGGATCTGGAAAGTTTTAACTTTGCCAAGTTCATCTGTTTCAATATCTTGAAAAAATGATCTCCAATATAATTCATTCCACATAGAATCACCAGTATCTTCAGCATCAAACGTTTCACTGGATGGAATGAATCCATTAGCCATCCATTGTTCAATTAAATCTTCCTTACTTATCGTTTCACCTTTGGGAAATCTTGCACAATATGCAAAACATTGTCTGAGTTTCATTGGTAAGTCTAGGTAACTTAATCTCAAGATAGGTATTACTGAGTTTTTTTCATGTTGCGGTAAACTCCACAGGTTGCTTTCCTTAACATAGAGCCACTCTTTTTGCTCTCTTTTGAAACTAAACATGCCTCCCATTATTTTCACTGCAAGAGGCACTCCCCTACACTTCTTAACTATCTCCATTCCTGTTGCCACAAGCACTTCCTTTTCTACCTCGTTTAGTCCAAAGGCATGTTCTTTAAAAATTTCCCAACAATCATTATCAGATAGCCTCGATAATACATGAGGAGGCACTGTTCCTATGCTAGCGGCAACTGTGTTTGGGAGGCGTGTAGTTACCAAGATGGAAGAACCTTTTGCCCCACAAGACAATAAGACATATTTCAGCTGTGACCAACTCTCTAGTTCATCAATCCACACATCATCCAAAACAAGCAAATATCTTTTTCTTTGAAGCAGATCATCAAGTCTTATTTGTAGTGGTTCTATATCCATATCCTCACAGGGATGCCTAGATGCTACTTCAATGATAGCCTTTATCACGCTCTTCAATCTGAAATCTTCTGAAACACGGACCCAAATTCTTAACTCAAAGTGGTTGATTATCCTCTCATGCTTGAAGATAAGCTTGGCAAGTGTTGTTTTTCCAAGTCCACCTTCACCCACAATAGTATAGACTGATGCATTCTCAGAATGTGAAACATAACCAGTCAAAAAGTCTATGAATTTATCTGTATCTCCTTCTCTTCCATAGACTTTTGAGTCAGTGATGAATGGCTTTGTTTGATGCCATTCAGTTACTGCACTATTTCTCCAGGGAAACATCTCCATCTTAGTGAAGTGAAAGTTAGTACTTCCTTCAGCAATTTCTTCCAATCTCTCAGTTATTTTTTTCATTTTCTTAGCAATTTTGCATCGAAAAGCAACATTTTTGGGATGAATAGAGGATAAGCAAGACCTTTGTACCTTGTTTGATGGACCACACTTGACTCCCTGGTGCTCCAATCTCAATGATTCATAGGCAAACTCATCCAAGATGTCATCCAGGACGTGAGCTGCATCTTTTAGCTTTTCCAGCCAATCTTTTACGGCTCTATTAGAGAGCTGTTTCTGCTCAGCATCCTCAAGAGTTTCCTTGATTGTAGTGAGCAAACTGGCAAGCCTTTTCATGTCTAGATTGAAACCCAAGCATAGTCCAACCTCGAGTGAGTTCAAATTCTCAAGCACAATTTTAAGGATAGCCCCAGCCATATTGCAACTCTGCAAGATGGAGACAGAAGAGGAGGGGTTGTATGAAGCAACTGGGAAGAAGATTAACAAAGAACAAGTTTTGTGTGCACTTAACATGTGGTTGCCTACCAAAAAAGCATTGTAACAAAGCCAAGGTTTCTCAACCAGTAAGGCAGGGATCATTTAATTCAACAATCTCCGAATAGTTTATAGCAGCTGCATGCACAAGTCACCGGGATTCCCTTAATCACCGATGAGATTTCCCTTTTCTATTTGTCTCTTTCTTGGTATATAGATGAGATTTGGAGTGTATACAAAGCATTTCCTTTTTTCCCCTCTGTTTCTGAGATTATAGAAATATACTTATTATCTGCTAGATTAATTTTCATTAGCCTTTTCTTTATTCCTTTTCCCAAAGGGCTTCTCTTTCATATTCCTACATACCACAAGCACCTTTTGGGTTAGGAGACAAATAAGAGTAAATTATAAGTAATGACATTGATAGAAGTTCTGATGGATTCATTACTAAATATTCGATTTGATGGAACTTGGCATGATAGGTATCGTCGTTCAAGAGTCATATTTATGGGTCTGCCTTACTGAAGGTTGTGGATTTTTACTTTTCAGTTGAGTTATCTTTTAAAACTTTTATTCAATTACTCAATACACATTAATATAGGACTTATAGAACATTGAAATACATCAAAGAAGTAACAACTTTTCAGACATTAAATTTAGAAGGTTTCAGACTTTCACCTCAACTAGGCTTATTAGTTTTTTTCACTGCACTCTAATGAATGAGATTTTTCATTTCTTGCAAACGATTCCCAAGCCATAGGAAAACTTGGAGCAATCAAGGGTGGCCATGAACTCTGGAGCGACTTGAGTGGGTTCAGTGTGATGGGAAGTAAATGGAGAGAAGACACAAGAAGCACAGTTTGGAGAAAGCAAGGAGGTAGTCCTGTATTTGTCCTCTCCTCCAACAACAGGCATGGCCACACCAACCTTTGCAGGGTTCTCAAAATCTTCCCTATAAGTCCTCCCAAGCACACCATCCACCTTAGGAGACAACCCAAAGAACCTGAATTGAATTTCCAAGTGAGCAAAGCAATCATCCTCAGGCACTTGGTAGTTGTGAACTGCATCATCTTCTTTGGTCACTGGCACCACATTCACCAATATCTCAGCAACATCCTCAAGGGTCACTATCACACTGTTCCTGGCAGCTACTCTCTCCACTTTCACATCTTTTTCTGGAGAGTGCCAAGAGGAGAGAGGGCCCTCGGGAAGAACCAGATGGTCTCCGTTGTATGTGAATTTGAGATGGTCAACATCTTCATTCCATTGGGATTTTTTGGGTGCTTCAAGTGATAAGCTTTTGGAGTTGAAGAGGATTCCAAGGGCTTGAATCCATGTGTAGTCTCTGGCTCTACCTGCTGGCCTGTGTCCAATGAAGCGAGCATTGATTTGAAGGGAGGAGTCTGAGACTAAGGAGAAGTGTTCGTTGCTCTTTCCGTGGAAGTAGAACACTCTTCCATCCCCACCAATGAAACGGGGATCGTAGCAACCCGATCCTGGTGCATTGCAGTTTGGTTTGCGACCTTCACATCACAAACACCAATTTTATCATGCATGTTAATGCTTCTTCATACTTTACATTGTACACAAGAATCTTAATTAGTTAAAAGAACCAAGTTTTAGACCATTTGAAAACCTTGTTCAACTTCTGTCAATTTCACCCTTTAAGATTTAGGATATATCTTAAACCTGATTAACTTAAGGTCTAACTCAATTCTACTTCAAATAACTAGCAAAGAGAAATTGAAGGGTAGAAAGAGGAAGAATGAAATGATGGTTTTGTCTTACTTCTGCATACTGCTCTGCATATGGGTTTGTCGCAATCAATATGACAAACCTTAGCTTTAGGATCTGTTGATTCACTGCTGGGACACTCATTCGGACATCTAATATATTTTCCATAGCATCGAGTTCCTTTGGTGCTACATTGCCTGTAATAATATGCATTGGCCTGCACACTCAAACATGACATAAACAATAACACAGCAATTATGATTTTAGTGATCTCCATACTTAAACTTTTAGATGATGAAATATGAGAATCAAGGAGGAGAGTTAGAGCCAATGAATTGATGAAGCAACAGAGTCTCTTCCTAATTATTTATACATGCAACATCGACTATGTTGTTTGCTTATTGTGAAGGTGGCTTTTGCAAACTTGTTGCCTAATCCATGGCTGGTTCAAAGTTAAAGCACGAACATGGGTTTGGATGATTGCATGCAGAATAATCAAAGGGGCTCCCATAAATGTTGTCTTCTTATAGAAGGGTATATGAATTTGAAGGTGTTAACTGATTCCTTCAACTGCAAAATTGGTGCTTCAATTTCTGATCGATGGACATGGCAAGCTTATGGAAAAGGTAAGGAACTAAAACATGTGAGAGAGTGAAATAATATATCAATTATAAATTTAGGATGTTTTCTTGTATATGATGATATATAACACTCAATTGCTATTTTATTTTGGATAGTTTTAAATTTTATAATTTTTTGTGTTCAGTTTCTTGATTTTTAATTGTTAATAATTTTTACCTTGAATTTTTTTTCTAAATTATGATAACTTAATATTTAGTTTTCTATAGTTTATTTAACGCTCAGTTTAATTATTGGTTATTTTTTATTATTTTGGATATAGTTAAAATGAAAACAGAAACTTATTATACTTACTGTTTTAAGACTCTAGGATACATGATACACTACAAATAGAAGGAAAGCATTATTTTGCTGTGTCTTTTCATGTAATATTTAAAATAAAAAATTAAATAAATTACAAATGATGAAGAAAACATTATCAGTATATGCTTGTATATTTTTTTAAACACAATTGATCTCTTCGGTAGTATAAACAGAGCGTTTCCGTGAAGCATATATAAAAGAAAGTCTCCACTTTTACTTTTTCATATTTACTTAACTTAGTTGTGCAAAATGCATGTATAATGTACTGAAAAAATGTATTCTCGTATCTTCATGAATATTAGCACTAAAATGAACCCTATGGATTACATATATAAAGTAAATGAAAAGGGATGTATACAAATACATCAGAATACGCAAAGAAAAAAACACTAACGCTGTATTCGCTTGAACAAATTGTACTGTTCAGAGGCGAATGCGAGCGAGTGTTTGAAAGGTAATTAGTGTTCGGATGAGCGGAAAGGTGGGTGTTGGTGAAGACGGATTTGCGGGATGGGTTGCTTTTTCATCACCCGCGGGAGTGAAGATATTTGGAGGGATTGTTGGGAAAATGTCTTATGTACCCTGAAGCTATTAAACAATTCCGTCTGTGTATATCAGGTTAAGTTGCAAACGCGTAACCGGTTATGCAAACGCACGACCAAAGTCTTCAAGCATCCAGCTGCGTCCAGCAGGGGCAACATCACGGTCCAGCGTTAGAAGAGAAACAACAACACGTGAGGAGGAGGTCCAGCATGTTGAAACGGAGAAAGCAAACAGCTCACCTTGATCCAGCAAAGAGCAGCGTCCAGCAAGTGGCAAGCATCCAGCAAGCACAAGTCCAACAGAGAAGGCACCCATGAGAGACCAACACAAGAAGCACTTTCTTTCCCTTCTTAGAGAGAGTCGCGTCCAGCAGTTGCGCCACACTTTGCATTTTCCTTTCTTTGCAATCATTTGGCTGGATCGGCTTTGGAGAAAAGAGAAAATGGTGGCTTTCTTTTGTAGGTGTACACGGCAGAAAAATGGTGACAAGAACGCGTAACCGGTTACAGGACTATATTTTTTTCAGTTTTTTTTATAATTATTTTAATATTATAATTTAAAAAGATGTACATCTTAATAAAATTAGGTATATTATATTTTCTAATTTATTAAAAATAAGTTGATTATTTAATTTTTATAATTTTTAAACATTAATTTTATAAATTATTCATAATTTTTTTTTTTTATAAACATTTTTTCAAATAAATTTTTACAATTAAATATAACATTTTATATTACTTTTATAACTCGGGGCATTTTGGTAATCTTTAATTTCTACCAATTAAACTAATTTTTAAAATCTATCACATCAATCAAATCCTACACTAATTCTCACAAACTTTACTTCCAAATCCACTCTCAATTATCCACAAATCCACTCAAAAAAACAACTAAAAAATTACCTTCAAATTCATTCAAATCTATTCAAATCATCTCTCTCAAATCATCTCTCCCAAATCTACCCAAAAGAACACAGTCTAAGGGTGTGTTCTTTTGGGTGTATTAATTGCAAACTCATCATTATATTATTATCGTAACTCATCATTACCATGGGAACAATTAATTGCAAACATTTTTAATAATATTCATAAATATTAGTGTGTTTATTGTCATCTTTTACTTTTAAAAAATATTTTTTTAGTTAATGAATTAATTATTTTCGTTAGAGATTAAAATTATAGAAAAAGAAAATTCTATGTATCAATAATGCAAAACTTTTATCTACAAAATAATTTTACTTTGTTTTTGAGTTTGATAAAAATTACTTATAGTGTCAGCAAAGATACAAGGTTTAAGTTTAATTTTTTTAATCTGATAGATAAAAATATGAATAGAAATTTGTGTTGTAGAAGACCACCTACCGACCACCCAACTTGAATTCCATCCGTCTCAAAGTATTTGTATGGAATAACATATATAATTCTTTTTTTGGAATCCACATTTTCTCAAGATAATTTTAATATAAGTCTAAGATGAATGGATTATAGTTGTTTTATGTGTCTTTTTCGTTATTATGATGATTTGTATCACCGTACGTGCTATAATTTTATACTATAAATTATAATGTATATTATCATTTAACCTTTTATTAGAGTATTTTTTATAATTACAAGAAAAAAAAGTAATACGTGTAAAATTTACTTGAATTTTAATATATGATAGTGTTAAAGTTTCAAGGAAAAGAGTAATTGTAATGTTCCTGAAAGTTCTCAATTGAAAGAGGAAATCATTATTATGAAGAAAAATTAACATCTTTTAGAAAATAAATACAAAATATTAAAAAGTGACATGTATAATTGAATGAATGATATATTTATCGTGAGTTAGGTGTCATGTTAGTTTATATTTTTTGCACTAAATAAAATTAGATAGTTACTTTATACGCAGAATTATTGGCAGTTAACATTACTCAGTAGACATCGGACCACAAAATAACCAACGTAAATTATTGACCGGTGGCATGTTGGTAAATAAGTTGGACACATAGACGTCTGTTAGGAGGGGCACCGATGTGTCTGACAGGTAGATGAAAAGTTCTTTTTTTTCGTCATATAGACGTCCGATCCCGCCATCCCGACGTTCGGACGTCTATATACGATTATAGACGTCGGTGCCCCTCCTAACAGACGTGTATATGTCTGACAAGTAGATGAAAAGTTCTTTTTTTCTGCCATATAGAGGTCTGCTCCCACCATCCAACGTCTAAATGGCCTGACAGGGTAGGTGAAAAGTTGTTTTGGACGTCATATTAGTGAGGGCTTCGACGCCTAGGCGAGAATAGACGTCGGTGCCCTCTGTGTCCGACGTCTTGTTTGCTGTTACATCAGAAATCGAACCCGCAGTTACGCGCACTTCATCGTCTTCCTTCTCGCCTTTTCTCTCTGCGACATTGCATTTCCGGGTGCATTTTTGTCTCTTTTGAACCGTTTAAACTTACTTTTACTCCGATTAAATTAGTCTTTGATGAATTATCTTCCATTTGAACCGATTAAAATGAGTTTTTGTTGTGTTTTGATGCAGTTTTTCTCGTGTCTTTGGGTAGCGTAGTAGCATATTCTCCCTTTGCTAGTTTCCTCGTAAGAAAAGCTTGCGTCTTTTGGATGTCTTATAGTGTTTCAACCCAAAACTAAACCTGGGTCCTTGCCTAGTTCTCATGTCACCGTATTCATTTTCATTGCCGGTTGGAATGGAAATAGGCAAGGACCCAAATTCTGTTTTCGGTTGAAATGCCATGAGAGGTCCAAAAGACGCAACCTTTTCTATGACGAAACTAGCAAAGGAAGAAGGTGCTACTACACTACCCAAAGACACGAGTTGCAGTAGACGTCGGTTAGTGCCATGTCCGACGTCTAAGGGCACTATAGACGTCGATTAATGCATGTCCAACGTCTATATAGACGTCGGACCTGTAGAGTTCGACGTCCCATTAGCATCACCCATAAAGATGTCGAATCAGGATTTGACGTTAAAAGCCCAAAATAACATACGTCTAAAGCTCTTTCTACACTAGTGGATGAGTGACATATAGGGTGACATATAGGGTGACATATACTGAGATATTGAAATATCTCATTAAAAGAAGAAGATATTAGTCTCAAAGAAAATTTACCATCATCTTAAGAAAATATAAAAACATTAAAAAATGTCGTGCATGTATATGGAATGAATGACATATTTTTTCAGTTAGATATAATGTTAATGTTGGATAATATTTTTAGTTTTAACTACTTCATATTTATATTAGCGGTAAATACTTCCTATTTATATAGTTAAATAATTTAATGGTGTTGAAAGTTTTCAACTGAAAGACAGAATTATTAGTATGAAGAAAGTTAGTATATGATGAAAAAATATATAAAGCACTCGAAAGAAGGTCATATTTATCTTGAGTTTGGTGTTATTACTAAAAATAATTTATTGGTAGTCTTGTCGAAAACTGGAAAAATTCATTCATAATTGTTTTTCAACAAATTATTAATGGGTAAAAAGTTGTAGGTAAAAATGTTGTTGGTAATATTTATCTAAAAGTATCGGTTTTCTATAATTACCAATAGATATATCTATAGGTAATGACATAACAGGTACGAGACATTACTGACGACTAATATCCATGGTAGTGCTCCAAATATTAGGGTGTTACGAGTTATTACAAAAATTTAACATTTCAACTTTTTACTTGCCACACTCAGTCTCAAATGAGTGTCTCTTCCCCAGTAACATATAGTCTCAAAGGGGTGTCAATTTATTCACTCAATATTTGTTTTGTTTTTTTTTTCATTTTTTTAGACAAACAATTCTCCAATAACCAAGTGCAGTGAGTGTCATCATAGAAACCTAACAAAAAATATTTTCTATCTTGTACATTT